CAGTGGGCCTCGCGGACCCGAGCCGAGGGCAGCCCATCAGAGCTGCGCCCTGCTTGAGCTTTTTATCTGTCCCCGAAGGTCTTTTTTGCTCACTGTTTCCCCACGCGTTTTCCGTCAAGCTCCCCAGAAGCTCCTGCGGAAACGCCTTCCCAGAGCTGTCAGAGCTCCTCCCAGAGGCTTCCGTACGGCCTTCCTGGCGCTTCGCTGTCCGGGTTTTGGACTTCACGAGTCGGGGCTGGGGCTGTCAGGGGTAGCCTACAAATTCGCGCCTCGGAGTTCCAAATCGGAGTTGCCCTGGGCCGCAGTTAACCCGGATAACTCGGGCGTCCAATTCCCCAAGCTGAGGGGCGGCCAAGAGCGGGTTCTCGGGGAGCAACAGTGACATCGACAACGAAAATTCGGAGTTCCGCGCGGATTTCTCGGGTCGGCGCTGAAACTCCCCTCTCCTTCCCGCCGGAGGCGCCGTCGGCGCCGCAAGGGGGCTCCAGCGCTGATGCGAGGAGTCTGCGCGCACCTCTTTATTTTTATGTTCATGTAGTCGTTTCGTTTTCTGGGTTCGGTGGTGAAAACATGGGGTCCTGAGGGATGGGGTCCTAGAAACGACGTGCCTCAGACAACGTAAATCCACCCGTGGACCCATTCCTATCCTTGGGCATCCATCCCTCAGGACCCCATTGTGAAGTCACCGAAGGGTGATGACTAGTGGGGGGTGGAAATCATGGCCGACACTATGGTATCTCCCCTGGATGTTCTGGCCCTTTCCTCTTATTTCAATGTTTTCCCGAGTCCGCGTACATGCCTTGGGCCATGATTTGCGACTCCCCCTCTTTGACGCCCCCCTCTTGGACGCCCTCCCCAAGCATGAGACCGTTTTTCGATCCCCTGGCGATAACCGACGTAACCACCTAGACCCCCTCGGGTCATGAAAAACAGTGCGACATGTTTTTTTTTTTTTTGCAATTTTCAGCCTCCAGGGTCTCTGGCCAGGCCTCGGGACAGTCAACAACTTACTCAGAATGAAAAACCGGTGCCGGGTAATGGGTCGAGACCTCTGAGGGCTGATGTTATGAACAAATGGTGACGTCGGGGTCTTGAAAGCAGGAGGCCGTCTTTTATCTCCTGTTGATAACGGTCGTGTCCAGGGAGGGTCTGGTGACCAAGGGGGAAGGGCGGGGCCGGTCACGGGCGCTACTTCGAAAATTGGGTTCGTAGGTGATCTTATCTGCACGAACGAAATGGGTACGGAAAGAATGGGTACGATGCCCAACAGCAGTTCCTGTTCATTGTGAACAGGACTCGCTGTCCGCGCCGCCGCGGCCTGTGTCCATTTGAGACAGAAGGCCGCCTGCCCAACAGCGGCCGCTGTTGGTTTGGGGACAACATCTGTTGTTGGGCATTGTACCCGTTCTGTCCGTGCCCATTTCGGGCGTCCAAATTTTACTTCGGTTGCCAGGGAATTGAATGGCTGTGTCGGGGCCTCCGGCTGGTGCCCAGTTGGTGGCGCCTCGTTGCCGCCTCGGTTGCTGCCTTGTCTGGGCCTCGGCTGCTGCCCGGTGGGCGGAGGCTCGCTGCCGCACCGTGCGCGTCGCTCCGCGCCAACTCTGGCCCACGATGCTTCCGGGCGACACGCCACCCACTCCCTCAGAGCCCCGAATCATCAGGGGTAACTCGGGTCAGGGATAACTCGGGTTCGTTTTTCGGGAATCCGAACCCGAGTTACCCCGGACCCGAGTTACCCCGGATAACTCGGGCGTCCAGAGCCCCGAATCATCAGGGGTAACTCGGGTCAGGGATAACTCGGGTTCGTTTTTCGGGAATCCGAACCCGAGTTACCCCGGACCCGAGTTACCCCGGATAGCTCCAGCGTCCAGAGCCCCGAATCATCAGGGGTAACTCGGGTCAGGGATAACTCGGGTTCGTTTTTCGGGAATCCGAACCCGAGTTACCCCGGACCCGAGTTACCCCGGATAGCTCGGGCGCCCAACTCCCCCGGGCCCCCTTTCCGCCCTCGTCCTCCCTCGGGGCAGCCTCGGGCCGCCGCCCCCCCCCCCCCACTCCCGCTCGGGGGGCGTTTTGCTGGGGGGGGGAGGGCTCCGGCCGCCCGCCGCGCAGTGCCCGGGCACACGCCGCCACTGCCCTGAGGAAGAGAAGGCGGTGGCGTGGGGGGCGGCGGGCGGCGGGGCGTCAAGACAGGATTGGCTCGGGGCTGAAATCTACGCCTGGGGGAATGGCTGCTCCTCTACGCCTCGGGACCTCCTCCTCCTCCTCCTCCTCCTCCTCCTCCTCCTCCTCCTCCTCCTCCTCCTCCTCCTCTACGCCTGGGGAATTGGCTCCTCCTCCTCCTCCTCCTCCTCCTCCTCTACGCCTCGGGACCTCTGGGGCCGCGGACTGAAAGGATCAGACCAGCCGGTGTCAGGGTCAGCCGCCGCCGTCGCCGCCGCCGCTGTCGCCGCCGTTGCCGGATTTCTGGTGGCGACGGCGACGGCGGATGCGGAATGCCCGTCTGTCCTTCTGATGTCCCAGCCTACTTTAGCCCTGACCGCCAGAAAGAATTTCGAGCACCAAGAAAGTACCGAAGCTGGAGGGCTTTCACGCCTTGCGCCCTGGGAGGCGATACCCGCTCGGCACCGTTCTCCGGTATTGTTCGGGGTGCTCGAAGGTATTTCTGGGGTGCGGTCCATGAGTACGATGGCAGCAGCACAGTTCTGTCCTGCTTTCCTGGGCAGGGAGTCGTTCTCTCGTTCCTCCCTTTCCTCTGCTGGCCGGTCCGTGAGTACGATGGGAGCAGCACAGTCCTGTCCTGCTTTCCTGGGCAGGGAGCCGTTCTGATCTCTCGTTCCTCCCTTTCCTTTGCTGGCCGCTGTAAGGCGCAATGCATGGGGGGATGGGGCAGGCGTGGCCGCTCTGCTTGACCCAGCCTCCCCCTCGTGCTCCTGCAGCTCCTCCTCCTCCTCCTCCTCCTCCTCCTCCTCCTCGTCGTCTCACCTCCTGCGCTGGTTTCCTCCTCCTCCTCCTCCTCCTCCTCGTCTTACCTCCTGCGCTGGTTTCCTCCTCCTCCATTTCCTCCTCCGCTTCCTCCTCCTCATCTTGCGCTCTTGCGCTCCTCAGCAGTCGCCCCGATGACACAAGACGCCTGCCCGAACTAAACAGAAAGTCAGCGCCTGAGGGGGACAGGGATGGCCGCCTCCACTTTGGAGTCCGAGGGGGCCTTCCCCTGCTTCACAGTACCCAGGATTTTCGCTTTCCATAGGGTGTCGAGCTGTTCCGAACACCTTGGCTAACTCCTCGACCTTTGTACGGGCATACGCTCCACAGCGCACGCACCAGGTCACTCCTCCATTCTGCCAGAGACGATGACTGGTGTTGGCCATGGAGACAACTCTCGGGACCCCAGGGCACCTCAGCTGCACGAGCCGAGAGCGGATCGCCCTCGCCGCGCCACAGACACTGCACCCCCACCCACCGCCAGGAGCATGCGAGACAACGCGACCCTTATCATCTGGGACAATCTCAAGAATCGGGGTTTCCGAATTCCTAGGCTCTCTTTTGGCACGCTCAGAGTATGATGACACATCAGGGTACCCCAGATGATGGACACGCTTGAGAATAGCCGCCACTTTGTTTATATATATATATAGATATATGGATACAAGACTGCAGTGGCGCTTCGCGCCATGCACCTTGGTCCTTGAAGTTTGGTACGCAGGCGGAATGACATGAAGGTCAAGCCGACAATTTAGTGATAACTCCTGGTTGCCTTTTTCCGGCATCGCCGCTATAATAATGTTATTCGTTCTTCCTCCATGGTTGTTGTTCCTTATGTTCGCCATACCCTGCGCATTCTCCCCATCCTGCTCAGCTCTTTTTTGCGGAGGCTCCTCCTTGGAGAGCCTCTAGGGGCCTCACAAAAGTTGTTTCGGGCTTTTTTAAGGCCTTCTGGAGGCCTCCTGGGCGTATTCTGGGGGCCTCCGGGGGGTTCCTCGGGCCACCCTGCCTCCAACCGCCGTCTCCCTGAACGACCGAATCACGATTTGGAATTCTTCGGAGGGTGTCTTTGGGCCATCTTGGGCCGCCATGGGGCTCTCTGAGGGCCATCTTGGACCCGTGTTGTGCCGTTTTGGGGCTTTCTTGGACTGCCTGGAAGCCCTTTTCGGATGGTTGTGGGGCGATTTGGGAACCTCCAGCCGGCTTCGGACGCCCAGAAGACCGCCGTCTTGGAGCGTCGGGAAGCCGAAAAGAGGAGAACCCCACAATTCACCGAAAACCCACAGAAAATCAATGATTTTTGCCTCGGGGGGCCTTCTTGGAAGTGCTCTTGGAGGCCTCTTTGGGGCCGTCCTGGAGGCCTCTTGGGCCATCTTGAGGTCACGTCGGTCACTCTTGGAGCGCTCTTGTGCTGTCTTGGGGGTCTCTGGGACGTCTCCGATGACCCCCCTGATCGCCCTAAGTGTGCTGGGAAGGCTTGGCAAAACGCCTTGCGAGGCCCGGTGGCCGCTTCAAAGCCCGTCCGGAGGGTCCCAAAGCCCCAGGTCCCGGGAGTCCGGTTTTGGGGGGGGGGCTGACGGGTTTTCCCCCCGCCCGGGCTTATAAAAATATAGGAAGAGGAATAAGCGTAACCTGATCATGATGATGCCGAAGGCGATCACGGAGGTGATGGTTGGCTGGGTGCGCTTTGGCGCCCTTCTTTGCCCAGAGGTCCGCTTCTTGGCTGCCTCTGAACCAGTGCGGCTCGTGGCCTCTCTGCTCCGCTGCCGCCTTCGTTGTATGCGAGGGCATCCAACTCACAGAAACATGATTGGCGCCGACGTCGTCGATCCTTCGCCAGACCGACCGCCAGAGCTCCGCGTAGCACTTATTGGATTTTGCCGTCCCCTCCCTCCCCACTCTGATCAAGCGGCGTGTCCGCCAGAGTTCCGTCCTGGCAGCGACGCTGCGCCCTCGCAGCGCGCCATACCAGATTGTAGCAGGTCGCCCACCGCCTCAGACGGAGGCGCGCATAGATGGCGCCACTCCGCCGCCTGGCCGCCATCCTGTCGGGCGCGGCGCTTGCGGCAGGCGTGACGCCGGTGGAGAAGGTACTCACGCTCCTCGACGACCTCAAGGCAAACATCGAGCAGGAGGGCACGGCGGAGTCGCAGGAGTACGACAGGTTCGCCTGCTTCTGCAAGGACGCGACCGGCGGCCGCAGTTCGTCGATCCTCGAGCGCAAGGACGAGTCCGACATCCTGTCCGCCTCCATCGCCGAGGACACGGCGAGCAAGGCGACCAAGGCCCAGGAGCTCGCCGAGAGGAAGGCGAAGCACGAGGAGATGGAGGCCGAGCTCGCCGCCACCAAGGATCAGCTCGCGAAGGACACGGCGCAGTACAACTACAATGCCGCGGACTTGTCGAAGGCCATCTCCAGCCTGGCCAGCGCTATGACTGCGCTCCGTGACGCCAAGACCCCGCCCGGGGCCGCGTTGCTCCTGGCCTTGCGCAGCTCCGTGGCAAAGGGCTCCCAGCTCGCCCGCGCCCTGGACAGCAGGCTGCCGAAGGCTCAGGCGTTCTTGCAGGCCAAGGTGGATCCCACCAGCCCGGAGTACAAGTACCATTCGGACGGCATCATCTCGACCATCGAGGACCTGCACACCGAGTTCACCGCGAAGAAGACCACCTTGGACGCCGACTTCACGTCGGCAAAGGAGGCCGCGGAGGCGAAGATCGCGGCGTTGGAGGGCGACCTGAGTAACAACGACGCGGCCATGAGTGGCCTCGAGACGGCCATCAGCACCTTGTCCTTGAACCTCGCAGCGCACAAGGAGGGCATGATCATGGTGGAGGCGATCCTGAAGGACGACAAGGTCTACTTGAAGGACCTCACCGAGCGATGCGAGGCTAGGGCCCACGACTGGGACCAGCGCTCGCAGATGCGCGCGGACGAGCTCTCGGCCATCACGGAGGCGCGCGCCATCATCGCCGGGCGCGTCCAGGGCATGGACGAGGCCGTCAACATCAGGGCCCTCGTCCAGAGTGGCCAGGCCGCCAAGAGGCCAGCCGCGAAGGTGGCCGCCGTGTCGCCCTCGTTCGTGCAGAGCTCCGCCGTGCGCGCCCACGACCACCAGGCGGCCGCCGACGCCGCGAACGCCACCGAGCTGAGCCAGGCACAGCGGGATTCCACCGTCGAGCTGTTGGCCAAGGAGGGCATCCGCCTCAAGAGCCAGCCGATCTCCATGCTTGCCATGAAGCTGGCTGGGGATCCCTTCGCCAAGGTCAAGGATTTGATCCAGGGGCTCATCGAGAGGTTGCTCAAGGAGTCCATCGGCGAGGCGACGAAGGAAGGGTTCTGCAACGAGGAGCTTGGCAAGGCGGAGAAGGACCGCGACTTCAGGTACCAGGAGGTCAAGACCCTGAATGTGGAGGTCGCCAGCCTCGAGCTCAAGAAGGACGAGCTCGAGTCGGAGATCCAGGAGCTCACGGACTCCATCGCGGGCCTCTGGAACGACCTCAACACCTCCACGACATTGCGCGGGGAAGAACACGACCTCAACATGGATACCCTCGCGAAGTCTAAGTCGGGGCTCGAAGCGATCACAGAGGCGATCGTCATCCTGAAGGCCTTCTACGCAAAGGGCGCCAAGGCCATCTCGCTGGCGCAGGCTTCGCCTGTGGACGAGGACACCGCAGGCCCTGGCTTCACGGGCAACTACGGGGGCAAACAGGTCGCGTCCAAGGGCATCATCGGCATGTTGGCGGTCGTCAAAACGGACTTCGAGCGCACGATCAAGATGACCAGCGACTCGGAAAAGAAGGCACAGGCCGACTTCGTGGAGTTCGACCGCGTGTCCAGGACCGACATCAGCGGCAAGACCACGAAGAAGACGCTGGACGAGGAGGACCTGAGGACCACGGTCGCCGCGATCGCCGAGGGCATGTCGAAGCTACAGACGGAGATGAGCTTGCTGGACTCGGCCCTGAAGCGGCTCTTCGAGCTGAAGCCCATGTGCACCGATTTCGGCATGAGCTACGCGGACCGCGTGGCGAAGCGCGAGCAGGAGATCGACGCGCTCAAGAGGGCGATCTGCGCACTGGGCGGGGAGTGCAGCTGAAAAAAAATCTGTGTCCAGCGGCTTTTGGCTGCGCCCCCTCCTTCTCCTCCTCCCCTCATTGGCACTCGTCTCAGCGGCTTTTGGCTGCGCCCCCCCCCTGCCCAACAGTGCCATCACATTGCGCCGGCCGCAGAAGCGCGTCTGCCCTGAGACCTGGCCAGGGAACAGCGGTCCTTCCTTCGTCGCCGACCCGGCCATGGTTCTACAAGGACGCCTTGGCACGCCGTCAGCACGCCGCCAGCGAATGGTACGGCCTAGCAGCTCTACAGCTGCCAGTCATCGGTTCGCCCTGGCGTCGAAGGTACCCGGCTTCTGCACGGGCAGCGTGGCAGGTGTTGAGTGGGTGCGGCTGTCCGCCATACACATGGTGATTGGCTTCGTCAAAGGGAACGGCCCCGCGTCGAGTGGTTCAGCCTTCTGCGGTTCGAGTTTGTTTCGCTCTTCTCGGCGCAGCCACAGCCCCGGCCCTCGTCAGTACAATTGCATCGTTGTGCCCCCGAACTGCGTGAGTCGGATACGATGTGAGCGCACAGGCTACCGGCTGGTGGCTGCTCAGCCTCGCGAGTGCACACCAGTGGTCTGCCTCTTACTGGATGGTGTTCGGACACCCCTCATTGACACTTGTATTCAGCGGCTTTTAACTGCGCCCCCCCCCCCCCCCTACCCTGAGACCTGCCTTGGAACACTCTCCTTCGTCGCCGACCCGGCCATGGTTCTACTACAAGGACGTCCTGGCCCGCCGTCAGCATGCCTCCAGCGAGCGGTACGGCCCAGCAGCCCTGCAGCTGCCAGCCATCGGTTCGCCCCAGCACCGGAGATATCCGGCTTCTGGCACGGGCAGCGTGGAAGGTGTTGAGTGGGTGCGGCTGTCCGCCATACACCTAGTGATTGGCTTCGTCAAAGTGAGTGGCCCTGCATTGAGTAGTTCAGCCTTCTGCGGTTCGAGTTCGTTTCACTCTTCTCGGCGCAGCCACAGCCACCAACCCTTGTCAGTACATTGCATCGTGGTGCCCCCGAACAGCGTGAGTCGGATACGATGTGAGCGCACAGGCTACCGGCTGGAGGTTGCTCAGCCTCGTGTGCGCACACCAGTGGTCTGCCTCTACTGGCTGGCGCTCTGACGCGGATCAGCCACACCTCAGCTTCAGTGAACCTTGGTGAGTCGGGTCCCCCTCGCCGCACCATCGTATGCTCGTGGGGCTGCAGTGAGTCTGAGTTAGTTGCTTTCGCTCGCGCTCACCCCCCTTTTTTTCCGAGGTCTTGGACGGCCTGGCTCTGTGTGTACACACGTGGGTTCCGCCTGGTCTTTGGCCACTCGGACTCGCGTTCTGCCCGTGGCCTTTGGAGTGCCTTGCTGTCCGTCTTGGCCTTGCTTCCGTTTGCGGTTCGGCTGGCGTTTGGCGCCGCAAGGGCGACTTCTCCCCCCCGTTCCGTTGCTGGTTGCCGCGCCTTTTGCTTCCCCACCAGCCGGGCTGTCTGGGCCGGTCACCAGCAGACGCTGAAATGCGTCTCAATGAGGGGGAATTTGTCCCTGGCATGTGCATGCGCCATTGCGTGTGTTGTCCGCTGGAGTCTGCGGCAATCTCGCGCCAATTATCTTCGCACCGCGCCCCGGACGTTGTGCCCGCTCCATGTCCCTCCCCTTGGAGCCGCGAACCAAAAAAGAGTATGATGACACATCAGGGTACCCCAGATGATGGACACGCTTGAGAATAGCCACCATGTATATCTGGATATGAGCGTAACCTGATCATGATGATGCCGAAGGCGATCACGGAGATGATGGTTGGCTGGGTGCGCTTCTCGGCTGCCCCTGAACCAGTGCGGCTCGTGGCCTCTCTGCTCCGCTGCCGCCTTCGTTGTATGCGAGGGCATCCAACTCACAGAAACATAATCGGCGCCCACGTCGTCGATCCATCGCCAGACCGACCGCCAGAGCTCCGCGTAGCACTTATTGGATTTTGCCGTCCCCTCCCTCCCCACTCTCCATCCGTCATACACCATTCTGCGATCCGTGATGATATGAATGCACGGCCCCATCAGACACAGAGCCATGTAGAATGCGTACAGCTCGCTGGACGGGACATCCTGCACCGGGAGGGGAGATGGCCCGTAGGCCACTGCATCAATCTCCATGTTCGGGCTGATAGACACGAGCGCCCATCCTGCACGGAGAAGCCATCGCATGTCATTGTCGTAGGCAGAGCCGTTTATGCAGACGGTACTCCCTCGCACACCACAGGCAGGCTGGACCGCCCACCGAAACTTAGTTCCTTGAAGGATCTTCGGAAACTGGGTCCTCTTTGAGTCTACAAGGGCCCTCGTCCACTTGATATCGGGTTCCGTCAGGGCCAAAGCAGCCGCCCCCATTCCGCTGTGGTCGTGATCTCTCCTAAGCCCCTTGGAGTTATCGCAGCTTCAGAGCCTATGATACACCGTACCCTTTGCTTGCAGGCACCACTGGCACCGATCGTCCACGCCATACCTTTTCCTGAAAACGTCAGCTTGCGCCCCGATACCTCCAGAGACATGCGCGATCAACAGGCTGGCCCCAAGATGATCTCCCAGGCCTCTTAACCTAGCAAGTTCAGCACGTATGGGCTTCACGTAGGGCTCCCAGAACACATTGAAATAAACTCCAGCGCGAATACGTAGCAACCTCCTGGTCGCGTCATCAGCTAGGGTCTGCACGGTCCTAGGCACATTTTCTTTGACGTTAATGGATACCCCACCCGAGTTGACCCACACGTCCCAGGAAAGGATTTCTCACTCCAGTCTCTCCAGGGTGGGGACAACAGCACCTGCGGGGCCTAGGACCGTCCTCCACCCTTGAGACCTAGCCTTGACCGCGTAGTCGAAGGCGTGCTTCATCTGGGCATCGGACGCCCATGAGTCAAAAACAGCTTTGACCCACATCTGCAAAGGTAAAGCGTTGGCCGCGAAAGACGGGTCGGTCTTCCCGACCTCGGCCAGCAAGCACTGCATACTGCGGCAACGGCCCTTGACAGGCCCGAACAGCGCTGCCCCTGTGGAGGCGCGTTGCCGCTCCAACTGTGTGGTGCCAAGCCCCACAACGGCGACCCCGTACATCATGGCAGGTCTGGGTCCTCCACGGTGAGCATTCTGCAGAGGCTTCCCGGAGAACCTGAAAGCTCGAAACTTGCGAATCCGTCTTCTGGTAATCGTCAATCGCGTTGTGCTGACATTTCTGCCTCGCCCGCTCCTTACCTTGAAATCGACCCCAAGATTTTTTGTCGCTTGGACCTGCTTGAACCCGAACTCCCTGAGCGCCCAACACAGCTGCTTCCCCAGGCGCTGGCCCGAGGCCACCAGGATCGATTGTTTGCGAGACACCTTCAAGTCAAGCTCCTCGAGCTCCCTACATACGAACAAGGTACAACTGACCAACTGCCCCTGAACAAACTTCTGATTCCCCACGGCCTGGAGCCCCGAGTCATCCACCATCAGAGATATGCCGATCCTCGGCCATTGCTTGACAGCCGCGTCAAACACATTTAAAACAACTACATTCAGCAACGTTGTCGCATATGAGCAGCCTGCCACGATCGTGGTGTCCAGCTCGAATGTAATCACTCGCAAGCCAGAGTAGACCAAAAGCAGAAACCTCAACCTCCTCATGGTAACCCGTGTTTCCTGCATGCTTTCAACTGTTGTTCATGTGTGATGCGCTCATTTGCCTTCTCCAGATCAATCAGCGTGCATCCACTGAAAACATGCTGGCTCGAGCGGCCTCGTTCATCAAGGCCTGCTTCCAAATAGCCATCTTACAGCTCTTGCCTTTGCCTCCGTACATGTACGCGCGCGCTTGTCATCCCACCCCACCGCCTTCTCATGCTGTATCCTGCTGTAAACCCGCACTGGTGTAGAGATGATCCCAAAAGGCCTCCACCCTCCATCAGGCTTCTGCAGAACGGTAAAATGAGCAGTGTGATCTGCTCTGGCAACAGGGCGTGCGTGTCCCACAGGTACAACAGGACACTGAGCGCAAGCAAGCCAGGCGTGCTCAGCTCCCTGAGAGCGTGCGGGGCCCAGTTACAGAGACCTACGGCTGTGTGATTCCTGAGTTTCCCCAAGATGGACCTTATTACCTCAGGCGAAAGAGGTGGCTTCAGGCCCTCGAGGGGTATCTCACTGAGCATCTTGGAGTCGATCCTGGGCGCCTCGGGTTGCTTCGTCCACTTGTGGGCTTTACCCCCACCATTTAGCAGAGCCTCATGGGCCCATTGTCTCTATTCTTTTTGCCGGGACCTTTTCCAGATCTCCTCTTCGCCTTGGGTGCATGTCACGTGGTCCTGGATAGCTGCGTGCAGCGCCTCGGCGTGGTAGACTTCCAGCGACAAATGCTTCTGCCTCCAGGTGGCCCAGCGCTCGCTCTCCCACAGGATCTTGGGCGGGTCCCTGGCTTTCTTCAACAGGGCCTGCGCCTGCTGGTCCTGGCCTGAACGGCCCTTGCGGAGCAAAAACAACAACTCCTCCAACCTGACACTGTGCCTCCTAAGTGCCCTCGATACATACAGGGGAGCCCAGAGGGTGGGGTCCCCCAACCTTGGTTAGAGCTGGCCTCCAAGCAAATCTGAAGGGGGATCCTCTTCCTTCGTACCCATCAGCCTGCGAAATATCTATCTGATAGGTACCCGCCAGCTCCTGCTCAGCCAAATCACAGAACTCTGCATGCGTGGACTTGGCCTGCTCTGCCGTGAAATCGGCGCCCTCCACATAGGTCTCCAACCTATCGAGAAGCTGCTCCCAGCCAGTCGGAGGCAGGGGAGCAGGCCCTACAGGAAGGTCTGCTGGAAATTGCCGAGGCTTCGCCAGCGCCCGAATCTGAGACACGTGCGAGTCGGTCCTGAGTACCAGCTTGACAGGATAATGCGTTGACAATTCCGTCTCCTCAGCTCGCTCGCATCTGACAACGGCAGGGGCCAGGCCTCCTGAAACTATGAAGAGGTCGATCGTGAGCCACTCCTTACCCACTCTGCACGTGGGCTGACCAGGCCGAACGATCACTCCTCCAAACTTTTCGAGATTCCCAAGAGCTCGGATCTCAGCAGCCGTAGCGTTGAAGCCCCCTCCAATAACAAAGGGCTTCCCAGACGAGTGCAAGGTCTCTCCAAGCTGCATCAGGATGTGGCGCCCTTGGGCACCAGCCCCAATTCCAGAGGGCAGATACACTGAGACCCCAATGAAGCCACCCTTGAGCAGCCCTCCAATCCAGGCTGAGGCTACTCTTGAGGTCGGCCTAGGCATCCCTTCCAGGGTACCTATACCTACACCGATTCTACAAGCTACGCCGACCCCCGACGATAGGCCTCCAGACATGGTCACCTCGCAGGCCCCTAACCTAACATTCCAACCAGCTTCCAGAAGCGTGCTACATGACTGGGCGGTGTTGCC